TAATATAATATAATATAATATAATATAATATAATATAATATAATATAATATTATAGTGTAAATAATATTAATTTATGAAAAAAAGGAACCAAAAGTGGAGAGATTTTATCAATAGGCATATATACACAGGTTCTGTTGTTGAAAACGAATCGGGAAAATCAACGCCATTATCCGACGACGCCGTACCAACACCGAGGCATATGGAATTCACTACCAACGCGGAGTTGAACTTATCCTGCTGCATTCTTATGCTAGATATATTACTAAAACAGGTATCTACAGAATTAGTACATACTCTAAAGAGGTAAACGAGATAAACGAGAGGAGTAATCTGATGAAATTGCGCAAAATATTGGAAGATGGAGTTGCAGAACATAGACAAGCACACAGGGATCAACACGTGGGTCTGCAGGGACGCGTGTCGTTTGATGAAGTCGATCGTCGCCTCGAATTGGAACAATTGTCACGTGTGCAACGTGGACACAGAATGCACCTACTGCGAGTCCAGCGTGATCTGGCATCAATTATGTTTGCAGTTGGTCACCTACATGGCACCGGAAAATCCAGCTTATCCGCCTGATGTGAGTTCCTCGTGCCAAATAGATTACAATTAAAAAAAAAACTCTACTTATTGGAATGACATTCTGTTTGGAATTTGTTGAAACCATCAGAAACCGTCAGGAACGTGAAATTGAAATTCTATCACGTGAATTTTCTGAATTACGTAGATTATAAAGTAAAGTAAATTGTTCTGCGAGTTTGCGTAAACGGAGTTGTACAATTTTTAAAACCGCTGTAATGAACAACAATGAAGAATCGACTATTCTATTTGATTTTTTTCACTCTGACTTTGTTACCACGGTAAGGGGAAACTATATCGATTAATAATGTGAATTACTTCCTTTTTCTTCGAAGCAGAGCAAGAACTCATAAACAGTTATTTAGTGCGAATTATGAATTATTCAATTATGTATTTAGATATTTCTTCGACAGTCATTTCACGATTTCCACCGAGCAATTTATACATCTACCTTCTGTTTCTTCCTTTATCGTGGATTTGGAACGAATCAGATGTTTCGATAGACAGACAAAATCTACCAAACAAAGTTTCCTATTCAAACGTTGTATCTAAGCTCTGTGAATTTCTCTGATTTCTGTTCAGAAAATCGTGGACGAAACGGCGGAAGACCACGGTCGTAAAAGTCCGGAGACATCGCGAAAAGGCGACTCGAAGTCCGACGTGGTGATCAGTATGCCGTTGCCGGAAATGCACTCGGTTGGCGGTGTTCTCGCGCACATGCCTCAGGTACACCCTAACGACATAGATCGTTCTTTATTCGCTGACAAATTTGATATGTACTCTTGTTACACGATCTTGTTACACTGTCTAAGAGACACAGCGTCTTTCTTTCTATCTCTCTGTGCAACAACACTTTCTGCAACAACAATATACGCAGCATGCTGTTCGTCTAAAAAAAAAAACAAAAAAAAAAAAAAAAAAATTCAAACTGTGTGTGTGCGCGCTCTCTCTCTCTGTCTCTCTTCTTCCACTGCAAAATGGCGTTGTGTGAACCATTGAAACACGGTAGGCTAATCTATGTGACCGGAGGTAGCTATTTTGATCGTTTATATCAGTTCTTCGAACAGATCATGACAGCGACAGTAGAGACAGTTTCGGAGCAGCTGGATCTCGCGGCTATCATGCCAACGGAAAAGGTCATGGCTGTTGCTCGGGCCGTTACCCTCTCCGAGACTGACGTAGGTAAGAAAGAAATTCGTCTGGCACTGCCTCTCGTGTTTTTAAGGTCCGTCAAGCGCGGTTAGTTAGAAGAAAATACGAAATCTTCGAATGCCAAGTTCCGTAATGGATATCAAAGTTATTTGTAATTATACAAAGTGTTTCTGTTATTTCATTCATCGAGATAAATATTGGAATAAATCATTTTACTAGAATTATCGTACGAAGATAAGACATGTTTCCTCCTTGAAGTTGAAATATTTCTCAATCCAGTAGTCTTAATACTTGTTTCTGAGAAAAATGTTGATGTCTTTGGAGACTCGCAAAGGTCACGAATTATGATTGTCATTCACAATGTAATTATAATATTTTTACACGATAAAGATTTGAAATCTTCAAAAGATGAATTTTCCGAATTGACGCGAATTCGAGTTGATCAATTTGAGAGAAATCTTGTGTTCGACGTCTGACCAAGTACAATTCTATTCTACTTTAACTAGCGACAGAATTGACTCAGAATTAATCTGAATCTTTCGTCAAGAAGTTTCTTCAGACAAATCCTTGAGACAAAATTTCTTGAAACTTTCTGTTTCAGCCACAGCAACTGTGAGCGTAGCTAAACCACGTCTGATAGGAGAGAACGATCAGCCATTGAACTTGAGCCCAGAAAATGAGACGGACGATTTCTGGCACACCTCTGTTGGAAAGTTTCGATTTAACATCGAGGATCTTCCCGAACAACTTCAGTACATACACAAACTTTTGAAGGTATAGCACTTAATTTGAAAGGTATAATATTCGATACAATATAGTAAAATTGAAAATTTTTTGGAAGACGAAATTATCTTTCTTCTTTTTTTTTTAATTCGCAGGAGATAATGACGATCGACAAGCCTGATATACTTTACTACATGCTTCAATGTCTAAACGTGATGTGTCTTTACGGGGATGCCTTCAACATGGCAGTGAAGGACCATCAAGGATTCTTCATATGGTGCCAAGAAAATTTACTAATAAAAAAGTAAGAATTCTATTCCCCAGATCCCAATACACATTCTCCTATGAAAGATATTCTTTATCAACAACGTCTTTATACTTCCAGATGAATAGAAACAACAGGTATCCTCCGCGTCTGAATGACAAATATTTCCTTTCATTCGTAGTAAATGATTACAAATAATCTTCTCCAATTGAATCGTATTTCTTTCCTTCTACAGCCTGTGGGAACTCCTAAACGCTGAACACTCTCATATAGCCCAAGTCACCGTGCCACTGTTGCTCCACTGTGTGACTTTATCCTGTGGAATAGATACCTTCTGGCGTTTGGTTCAAGAAGAGTTTCACAATTCCGATTGGCGCGTCCGATTCGTGGCAGGTGATGAGAATGAAAAATAATCCACCGAATAAAGAAGTCTAACACAGAAAAGTAGTTCCCAAACGAATCCAATTTCTTGATGTCCGACAGTCGAAAGAGTTACACTGATAGCTAGATTCATGGATTCCACTCCACTGAGAAATGTCGCGAACCTCCAAGCTGCTCTGGCGAACGCGTTCTGTTACTTGATCGCGAGCATGGACGACAGCAATGTGTACGTTGCTCAGAGGTCTACTTTGTATCTTGGTACCATCCACGACACAGCCATGAGGGTGAGATATATTTATTAAACAATTGCGATACAATGTAACTGATCGTTCTATATTATCACTACAAGCTGCGACAACTTAAATATTTTTTGTAGTCTCTGATCCTCTGCTTGGAAACTCAGTTCGACACAGTGATAGTCGACCGTCCGATGGTGCTCCAATCACTGTATCAATTACACAACAGCCTGAGCGACAGGCATGTTTTAACCTGGGAGTTCTTTCTGAATCGTTTCGACGCTCTGTTCTTGGAGGCTCAGATTTATTTGGAAAGGTCCGGAGACATACCCTATCTACGAGGTCAGTTCCTTGTCGACATCGCGTTTTTGTTCATAATTCATCAGGAAGGGGAAAAACAAGTAATAAGAAATTTCTGAACATCTTGAAATTGTAGAAGCGAAAGACAAAGGGTTGAAATGAGAAACAAGGAAACAAAAGAGAAAGGAAAGCTTTTTGCTTAGATGATGTCAATCCATGCAATAAAATTAACCAATGTGTTGGAATTAAATTTGCCGAACATTGATCGATGAATCGATCTTACAGATTTGAGGAACACCGACCTGAACAGCGAGACATTCATGAAGAAGCTGCACAGGGCGCAGGAAGCCCTGTCCCAGTCGGACGGAAGCGGAACGAACTCTATAAAGACATTGAGCGCGAGTTTCGGTACCAAGTGGCCATACAAGCGCACCATGTCCGCGCCAGCGTCGATGATCCCTCGCCAGGACACGAAACAAGGTACACGTATCGCGAACAACACATCGTGATTCACTTCCATAGTTTACTTCATAGTCAGAAATTCCTACATCGTTGATCATCTATCGGCGATGAATCACGAGTGTCTAAAGGACAGAGTCAAAGTGTTGGACTCGAAGACGTAGGAGTCTGTTTGACTCAAGTTTGCGAACTTGAGAGTCACTTCAGATTATAGAGTAGAGTTACTAGGTTTTTCCCAGAATATAGAGTCAAATGGATCCTTCGAGATGTCTGGGGATTCTATCGAGAGATTTATAGCTCTCACTATAAACGAGAAGTTGCTAAAAATATACGAAGGATATGATACTTATAAATTATATTATTCATTGAAAATGAAATTTATACACTTGTGAAGTAATTTACTGCGACTTGTTTTTTTTTTTATAATAAAACATTTATTAGCTTGGAAAATTCACTTAGACAATTATTTACTTTCAGATCAAATCTCTTTTTTTACTTATTTTATTTGTTCTTAGTAGTTTGCAGCACACCCAAAATTTTTCTTAAAACTTCTCATTTGTAGTAATAATTGATATTAACTACCAAACTGATGAAACAAATTCTTTTAAAGTTGATTGACGTGTCCAAATCACGCTATCTTGTTTATTTCTATTTCTTATTCATTTCATCAGTTTCAAAAATACTGCATGCTTTTAACGAACGAATATACAAAAGGCAGTGCTTTCGAGTTCCAAAATTCTATTACCAAAGACGAATCCCCGAAATCTATCGAAGGAATTCCGCAATCACTACCGACTCTCTCGCTGCCTACTTATTGTTAGTCCTAGAATTACCAAAACACTTAGTCGAGATCTTCCATCTAAAAAAAAAAAAAAAAA